CCGGGCCCGCCCCCCGCACCCGACAAGAAGCACACCCGCCACTTCTCCCTGGACGTGCACCCCTACATCCTGGGCGCCAAGAAGGCCAAGCCCGAGCCGGTGCCCGCCGCCCTGCCCGCCTCCCGCAGCCAGGAAGGGGGCTTCCTGTCGCAGGCAGAAGAGTGCGGGCTAGGCCTGGCCACAGCACCCACCAAAGGTAGGCAGCTGGGCAGGACCCTGGATGGGGATTGGGCACCTCGGGTCCCAGGAAGGGGAAGACCCCCACCACCCACCCTCCCCAAACCAGGGTCCTGGGAACCTGCCTGGTGGAAGTGAGGGGGCGCCAGGTGGGCTGATTGCAGGGGTGACCACGGGCAGAGCCTTGTGGACCCCTGTGAGCTGCAGGGGATAAGGCCCTGGGCCTGTGGCTGGAGGGCACATGGCACTGAGGTCACTTGGGCCCTTGCGAAGGCCCTGGACTCGGGCGCTGTAGCTCCAGGAGCCACTGTGTGCAGACGGTCTCGCCCGGCCAAGGGAGGGAGGATCGGCCTCTCCCAGGACGCTTCAGAGCCACAAGCCCCAGCTGGCCCTCGGTGGCCAGCCTGCCCTGGTGGGGACTGGGAGCCTCTGCAGCATGACATCGTCTGGTCTCGGCTCTTTGCAGACGCCTCGCTCCCGGCGGAGGACATCCTGTTCCCAGCAGAGCCCCCCCGGGCCGCGCTTCCCTCCGGGGTTTTTTTTTGCGCTCCCCTCCGGGGTCCCGTTCCACATCTGCTCGCCCCCGGCGGCCCCCGCCACAGCCCCCCTGTCCCCGGCCGGCCTGGGCAAGGCTGACGCCCTCACCATCCTGAGCCGCAATGCCACCCACCCGCTGCTGCATATCGGCACGCTGTACGAGGCCCGGGAGGAGGAGGACGGGGGCCCCCGAGCGCCCCCGGACGTGGGCGGCCTCATTGCCCTCCCCCCACCGCAGCAGATCCTCATCGCCACCTTTGACGAGCCGAGGACGGTAGTGAGTACCGTGGAGTTCTGAGGGGATAGGGCTGCCTGGGCCATCACAGGCCCCCTGCATGACCGCGGCCCGCCACCGACCCCAGTCCCACGCGGCTGCGGCCTCTGCTTCGCCAGCATTGCCCACCCCAAGCCTCCCGCCTGCATGCCTCGGGGCTCAGCATCTCTCCCACCCGGCCCCCCACAGCAGTATTGGGGGCTGGCTGGGCCAGGGGCTGGCTGTGACCCCAGCAGAGCCTCGGCCAGAAAGGCCTGGAGCCCCCATCCCTGCATCAGGCGCTCGGCTATGAGATGAAGAATTTATTTTTTTAGTCAATTCTGTCTTGGGCCCGGGATGCTGGCCTTCAGGTGGTCTGTGGGAAGACGACTTGGGTCCCAGGCCTGCAAGGGAGCTGGGGACGGTGGCACCGCCAGGCCTGGGCACTCCCAAGGGGCCGTGCTCACGTCTCTTCCCTCGCAGAGGCCAGGGTCCGCTCGCGGGCCAAAGATCAACATGCACTTTCTCCTCGTCCCCTACATACCTGTACTTTATTTTACTATGGTTACTGTAACGAGCGAGTGTATTTATTATCAGGAGACTTAAGGTGCATTTAAAACAAAAGACGGTGTGTGCGTGAGTGTGCGAGTGAGTGCGGCAAGGAGGAGGGTGCCAGTGTGCAAGTAGATGTGTGCTTGAGTGTGCAAGTGCGTGCGAGTGGGCACCAGTGTGTGTAAAGAGGCCCAGGGGTGAACGAGTGTGTGAGACTAGGCGTGGGCGCTGGCATGCGAGTGAGGAAGGGGTCCAACGCAATAACCATGTCCCCCGCCCGGGCCACCAGCCCCCCGGCCCCAGGGTCCATGCCGCTCCCCATGGGCGCCCAGGGCCAGCGCTTGGTGGGTCTGTCCCTATTACCTCAGCCACGGCAACAACGTGACAGTATTAACAAGGTAGCACTGAGCACATCAATAAATGTTATTCTGATACCGCCTGCGTCCCGCGTGGTCCATCCTGCAGGCAGCCTGTGCTCTGGCGGGGGCCTCCTGCGTCCGGCTGCCTCCACCCAATTGCACACCCATCCCTGGGCCACCATTGTCACAGGCTGGGGAATGGCGGGGCCACAGGTTCGGCAGAGACAAAGACACGAGCCCCCCGGAAGCTGTCCTCTCCTTCAGATGCCTGGGGACAAAGGGCTGTCAGGTATACCTAGCACAGCACGATTACAGTCAGGACTCAGAAAGGCTTCCCGGAAGAGGCATCTTGATGTGGTCCAGAGATGCTCCTAATGTAGGGGTCCAGATCAGAGGTCTTCACCAGGCCCAGGACACGGGCAGGGACAGAGCTGGCGCCACGTGCACCATGGAGCCACATGCCCTGCAGGCCACTGCAGGTGATCCACTGCAGGGTCTGGATGGGTGCTCTGTGCAGGAAGGTAGCTGGGGCAGTGTGGGGGCTAACGCAGGCAGGTGTGGCCTCGAGTCGCCGGGACGCTGGGCCGAGATCAGGATGCACACCCGCTGTGCCGCGCTCAGACCCAAGCCTGGCCGCCCTCCACAGCCCCTCACCTGCACCCCGAGCAGCCACGAGCTGCCCAGGGGAGTCAGACGGTCATCCAGGGAGACAGGCAGGGGCTCCATCCCACCACGTGTTTGAAGTGCCGGTTTTACTGACGTTCAGGAGGGTGAGGCCAGCGGATCCGGAGGCGACTGCCATTGAGAAGAGCCTGTGCTCACGGACTACAGAGAAGGATTCTGCCACAGGGCCATATGGGAGGCCGCGGGTGGGACAGGAGGTAGAGGGAGCCAGGGACAGTGGCCACAGGAGCCTCTGCGGTGGTTTCCGCCGGAGAGAACACACGAGGCGGGAGCGGGCGAGGACCGAGGACGGCGCATGAATACCGTCACAAGCCCCAGGCACAGGCGCCGCCCGCCTCCGGGTACCGCGTACCCGGACAAGGCGCGGGGCAGGGGAAGCGCAGCCCTGAGTAGCAGCCCCACGGCGGAGGGGCGGGCTCTGGGACGGCTGTTTGCACTTGGAGTTGTGGGCCCTCTAGGAACTGTGGGCCCTCTAGGAACTGGCCCACCCAGGAGGGCGGACTCTCCACAAGAGGCCCCAGAGTCCAAAGCAACAGAAAACGAAAAGGCACAGCTAATGCAACCTGTCCCCAGAAAGCCTCACTCTCACCTGAGCCAGGACACTCCCCGACTGAGCGTCACAGGCCTTGCAGCCCACTGCCCCTCAGGTGGACACTCAACATTTATTTCTATGTGTCCACAGGAAGGGACCCCTTGTGCCCACAGGACTTGAACGGGCTGGCTCAGTCCTGCAGGGGGCGGGGACGCGCCCCTGGCCCTGGGCAGCTTCCCGCACTGGTCCCACACTGGCACCTGGCTCCATCGAGATGATAGAGGTCTAGGTGACCTATCCGCGGAACCCAAGTCACGCCAGCCTCAGGCAGCAGCATTCACCTCAGACTCCCTGCCCCTCCCCGAGTGTGGCTGGAGTCAAGGTTGGTCTCCCAACTGTCCCCTGTCCCCGGCCAAACTCACCTGCCCACCCCCACCCATCTGACCTGGGACTCCAGCAGAGCCCTGCACAGCCACCCCTGCCCTACTGTGGCCTCCAGCTCGTCCTGCGCCCCCTGGTGGCTCCACCCAGAGCTCTGCTGGGGCGCGAGTCTCGCAGTCCCCAGCACACACCCTCCTGCCAGGAACAGTGCACACAGATCCAGGCGGGGCTGTGTCCGGGGTCTGTCTTCAGTGGGATCACTCTGCCAGGCTGCCACCGCCAGTCCCCAGGTGCAAGGCCTGCCAGGACATTTCAAGCCAAGTCCCACCCAAAAGTGCTAAGTCTTCGAGCAAGCCGATGCCCGTGGTGTGAGCTGACCCTTGCCTTCGTTTGCTGGCAGAGAAGGGTGCGAATCAGCATCCCGCAGGTGCCAGGGGGTGACACCATGCCCCTGCTCGTCATAAGGGCGCCCAGGGGCTCTCGCGTTTCTCTGAAGCCCTCCGCCCTCCATGTCCTCACTCCTCCCCAGCACCCAGCAGGGTGGATGGGGTGGGTGGGGGCTACTGTCTCTCCCTCTCGGAAGAGGAGAAGCTTGGGGAAAACCTTGCGCCCCACCCCACACAGCCAGGCCTGGAACCCAGGCCCCTTCCCACACGCCAGCTTGCTCCTGACCCCAAGCAAGTGCCCCGGAGTGGACCATGGCAACCACCTGGCCAGCACCGCTGCTCTACTGTTCGAAGGTGGCCAAGGTCGGGAGGGCGAAAAAAACCCGTGCTGGCAGAGCGAACAATGACAACCGGACAGAGAGGGTGCTGACCAGAGGCCCGTGAACCAGAAGTGCCTGTCCCGCACCAAGAGAACCGACGTCCCTGAGGCCAGCCTGCCCCTGGGAGACCAGGAAGCTGTGCTGGGAGGCCGGGTGGCAGCCTGGCAGCCAGCCCAGCCTGCTGGCCTGCGGGGGGATTCTCCACGTCAGCCAGGCCACAGCGGCCACCCGCAGACTCAACATGGGCACCTGTGACCCCTACCGGGCACCAGTGCCAGCCCGGCGCCTCAGAAAGCTGGGGCTCTTCTGAAACCTGACTGCTGGGGGCGGCACTAACCCCTCATGCCCAGGCCTGGCAGGGTCCTTCCAGGTCCAGGCCGAGGGAAGGAGAGCCTGCTGGGGCAGTTACTGCTGGAGCCCCACTCTAGCTGGTGGCCCCAGAGTAGCTTGTCCTAGGACAGAGAGCCGGTCCCTCCTTTTTCTAGCGGGAGCCCTTCCCCTCACCGACTGGTGCCGGAGCCAGACCCCGCGGCTTTCTGCAGAGCCTGCAGTCCTGGCCCAGATGATCGTCACAAGGAAGCAGAGTCCAGAAGGTGGACATAAGCTTCCGGAGGTGGCGGGGGCTGGCTGGGGGTCCACGTGCGCTGCAGGCGAGAAGCCATCAGCACACGCACCACCCACCACCACCATCACCTGCCCGGCGCGCAGCCCCAGCGCCTGGGCCGCCAGGTCGGTCCCACCGGTGATGACACTCCAGCCGGGAGGTGGCCGGCTGGGGGCGAGGGGCGGGGCCGGGCAGGCGGCCGCGGGGCGCTCCAGGGCCGGGGCTCTGCGTCCTCCTCCCACACCCGCCCGCGCGCACCCCTCACTTTCCCAGGCTGCCGCCCGCACAAACCGCGGGGGACCAAGGGTCCAGCGTCGTGGGGTGGCCGAACCAGCTCGGGCCCTGGGAGCGGGGAAGGATGGGGTCCGCTCATCCGGAGGTCCCTCCGAGGGTTGGAACCCCCGGGACCCCGGCCACCATGCCGAAGGATGGCGCGCGGGAGTCTTGGCGCCCCACGATCCGAGTTCCCTGCTCCTCGTATCCCACTCTGGTTTGTCCCTTTCTTGCGGGATTGACATTCTGTGTCACTGGACGCAAAGCCACCCCATGGACGCCGTACGAACATCATTTTACAGACAGAGTTGCGGTCACAGAATTTAAGAGCTCTTCGAAAGGCCACCCCGCTCGGGCGGCGGGTCGAGGACTCGAACTCGTGCTGCCGTAGCCGCCTCCCGCGTTCGAGGACCGGAGTCTCCGGGGCTGGGCGGGGCTTCTCTCGCGCGGCCTCCTGGGAAGTGTAGTCCGCGCGCGCGCCGCCCGAGCACGCAGGCGGCATGCGGAACT